CGCGCGCCGACCAATGCAAGGGAATCGCGACGGCTCGTGGTCCTTACGCGCCTCCGCGAACGGTGGAAACGGCAACGGAAACGGTGGTTATCATCCTCAATCGACTCGTGCGTTTTCCAATTTCAATTTCCAACGACCCATCAGATACAATTTCCAGACCCAGCACAATCTCAACTTCCCTCATCGACAAATCCCTACCTTCCCTCCTCACCAATTCGGCGATGGCGCTAATGTTTTCCTGAGCGGTGATAATGGTGGGTCTCGAACCCTTGGATCAAAATCAAAACGCAATGTAGAAGTTATGCGAATTGATAAGGCCGTCATCGAGACGCGTAAATCGCTGGTTGCTTCTGGGGAGAACGTTTCTTCGACTAGAGTGTTTCAATCGGTTTTAGCACAACTTCAAGCTGATTCCTTTGTGGTGCAAATCCAAGATGTTCCTTCGTTTCGCCAGCTTATGGCCCTTGAAGGCAAGGTAAGCTTGTAAAATTTGGTTGATTCCTTTTCTTTAAAACGCTTTGAATCTTTAGCAATTATGTGCATTTCTTGATGTCTTGTAGATCAATGCATTTATTCACTGCTTCGTTGGTGCTCGAAGAATCGTTACCCTGCATGATTTGGAAGTGGCAATATGCCGAAACGAGTTCGTTGATTGTTTTGATGATTTGGAATTGGGACCTTTGCTTCAGCATCCAATTGTCTTGCTCTATTTTCCATCCATCTCCGGTTCTACTGCCCCAGTTCAGATCACTAGTGAGGAGATAGTGTCATTTCTTGATAGCTATCTCAACGCTTTTGATACGGACGATGTTAAGCTCGATGAATTCCTGAATTTTGTTGCTGAGAAAAAATTTGTTACAAGCAAGGAAAAGCTTGGTGTGCGTATTCAGAGCTTACGGTATGACATTGTTTTTTTTGGGGTTATCTAAACTTGCTTATGAATTAGTTATTTTGATGATATAACTTGATAACGTTGGTTAAGTAGTTTTTGTTTTCAAAAATCGAGCAAATTTTTTGGTCAGTTTGAAAGTTTGTCTATGCCTTATATATCTGTTGACTTTTTTGTTTTCTGAAATTGAAGTTTGGTTTCTAGTAGTTGATTGAGGGTTGGAACATCAATGATGTGCTCTGGTTTGATATTTTGTTGTTATGTATAAAGGATACCTCTTATCTGCGTGCTCCTATACAGTTTTTGAAATGATAAATGCGTTTTTTTATAGGATGTATGTATCTTTCATTCAAGATGCAAAGAGACAAGAAGGCGAAACATTGAAGAACTTACTGACTGAACTGCATCAGAAGTATCACATCCTCTCATCAAAGAAACAACGGCAAGATGAATCCCTTATTGTCTCTGAGCATGCTTACTCGTTTGCGTTACATCATAAGGATTATTGTGGCAAGCATACGAGATTTTATTCGTCAAGCTCAGATGACAATGATGATTATGAGGTCGAAAACGTTAATAGTTCTGACCATTTCAATAGTAGTTGTCCTTATCCATCTATTGTAGAAGAGATGAAGCAGCTTCCAGGCTCCAATAAGAAAAGGAAGGCTGAAAGTCGTAATCATGAAAAATCTAATTCGTCCGAACTGCTTAGAAGAGTCCCCTCTAAATTACATAGAGGATATGCGAAACAAGTGACACCTAAATCAGGGGATGATTCTGATTCTAAGCAGGTTTTCAGTGTGAATGAGGCTGATTTCACACTCTCTGAAGGGGCTTTGAGATTGTTCATTTCGACTTGGAAGGACACATGTAAAGAGATAAGCATGTCAGTGGTAAGTCCATGTTGAGTATATTGACATCAGACAACTGCATATATCAGATAAATATTTTTGCTTGAATCTGACAGTGAATTATCTTAAGCAAGGAGAAGTGAGGCTGTATGCTTGTTTATTTTCTAATATTCTCTTTTGTTTTGTAGTTTGTCGAGAATATATTGTCTTTTTACAATTTAGGGGGCTCCGAAGTACAAGTTCCGATTAAAAGAGCTAAAGCTATGGCATCATTTCCATTTGTTGGAATACTACATGTCGCTGTGAGTCAGTGATCATATTACTTTAGTTTAAACTTCAAAGTTCTTTTCATTTTTCCTTTTTGTGATTTCCTGAGATGCATTTTTCTTTGTTTCGTTTTTATTTATTCAGAATCTCTGTTAACGCCTAAAACTTTGTTTCTGAAATTACCTCTCTCTGGGAAACCTCACTGTTTTCTACTCTTTATAATGCCTCTTCTGTTTACCATCCTAATCTGAGGACGTATGTGTTGTCTTGGAAACACTTGGTTTTTCTCTGCGGATTAGTTTTTCATCTTTTCTCCCAATTTGGATAGAATAGAAGGACGCTTGGTTACTACATACTCAAAAGCGTCCTCCTTAAATAAGGCAGCATTGATTTACATCCATCAAACATTTATTGACTCAAAAATGTTGTTTCCCGCTACCTTCAAGGTGTTTACAAGTCTTATTACCTTTTTTCCTTCGTTTTTTTTCCCTTTGTTATTATTTCCCAAGTTGAAAAATATTTGATATTTTCACTGTGTAACACAGGCTCACTATTTTCTGTGACACCTCCTTTTCAAATTTTGAAAAAAGTGCCGGTCTTCAAAGCTTAGACTATTCCACTCGTACTTTTACAACAATTTGGTTTTTTAAGCTGTTTTCTGTTTCTTCTTTTGTTTTTTCTGTGTGGTTCAAGTCTTCCATGCTCTCGTGCTGAGACTTAGCACCAAGTTGCAAAGTCTTGAGTTGAGTTCAGCAAATGAAAAGCTTCCCTAATTCAGCTTTTCTCTTTGATTTTACATCACAATGTCACTGAGGCAGGCTGAAAAAGGATAAAAGTCGCGCCCCTTGTTGTCACCTCCGGTCCCCACTTTGTCTACATGTTTTCTTATTAAATGAATTATTGGAAACCTTCCAAGACCTCAGGTCGCAGATTCTGTCCTTTGAAATATCTGTAGAGGAATGTTTGAAACTGTAACCTGGTTGCATTTTTGAAAGTTTTCCTTGACATGAGTTTGTGCATCTCAAGTTTTTTTTTCACCTGGTTCTGTGTCTTATGCAAAAAGCGTCTAGTTCAGTGTTCCAGAAGTGTATGCATTGTCTTTCTTCAAATATCGTTGATTAAGTGGAAAACCTGTTTGAGGGAATATGTATCCTTTTTTCTAATGTTTGATCATTTTATTTCCTTTTGCTGAAGGAGAAAGCTGCAGATGTTTGCTGTAATTGAGTAGTAACTTTATTTTGTTCCCCCTTTTTAATCAGAAGGAACTTGTAACAGAGGCTCTTGAGGAACAGATACCGAGTGAGATCACCAATACAAACTTGGTTGCTGGATATGATAATTGTGCAGGCACAAGTTCACGAGCTAGTAAGCCAAACCCATTGCGTCCTATGCCCATGACGAGTGTCTCAACGTCAAGGAATCTTGCTCACAAATGGAAAAATTCTGTCTCAACTGTTTCAAGCGTAAGAGATCAGATTCACACCGGCACACCTTGGGCTGCACAGGCGCAACAGACCTGTAAAAAAGGTGAAGAAATCGCGTACAGATACTTTGCTACAAAATACGGCAAGGAAGCTGTGGTTAGATGGGTTAATGAGCAGAGCGAAACCGGGTTACCTTACGACCTAATAATCGAAAACCGAGGTGGTAAGAAAGAGTACGTAGAAGTGAAAGCAACGGTATCTACAGGGAAAGACTATTTCAATTTGACAGTGAAAGAATGGCAATTTGCAAATGAGAAAGGTGAGAGTTACGTTATTGCTCATGTTTTATTAGGAAACAGTAATGCCATCCTCACACAGCATAGGAACCTTGTCAAATTATGCCAAGAAGGTTATCTCCGGGTATTGATTCTCATGCCCAACCAGCGGAACGGGGTCAACGTTGCATTTTAAACCCAATTCAGTTTCTTTTGTTTCCATTTAAACCCTTACTTGGTTTTCAAGGAACTATTAGCATGGGATGTTTCCGGATTCACATGCAAATGTAAAAGCTAACTTGTGGGACAAACAAGACTGAGATTGCCAGATTGGTTAGTAGGCAGTAGCGACTTAAGATGTGAAGATTTGGAAAGGATCAAATCTAATTATTTTATTCATTCAAATTCAATACTTGCTTTCTCTTCAAGTAGCCATCTTCTTCATAAACTTGTGATTTTCTTGGTTTTGCCACACCCCAATTCTTCATTTTGTGTTGTACATATATTCAAATTTTTCTGCTACGGCTAAAATCTGTCTCCTCTTGTAGTGACTGTATCGGGGGTTTGATGGGGGATTCTTCTGGAAATTCGAATAGAGTCAAGCTTCGGGATGGTAGATTCTTAGCTTATAGAGAAGGAGGAGTTAACAAAGGAGGAAGCCAAACATAAGATCATTCTTGTTCATGGCTTTCAAAGCTCCAAAAATATGAAATTCTCTGCCTCAAAAGTAAAAATGCTCTTTGTGTGTTTGTCTGCCTCTATTTTTTCTTTTTAAAAACAAACAAAGTGGGAAAAATCTCATTTGGATTTAGTTTTTCAGGAGCTGGTAGAAGAGCTTGGGGTGTGTACTTTCTGTTCTACGACCGTTCTGGATATGGAGAATCGGATTCAAACACGAAACGTTCTTTGGAAAGCGAAGTTGATGACATAGCAGAACTTGCAGATCAGTTGAAGATAGGACCTAAGTTTTACATAATTGGATCTTACCCTACTTGGGGTTGCCTAAAACACATACCTCACAGGCAATTTAACTGAGAATTCAATTCAAATCATATCTTTATTTGTGTAACAGTTTAAGTAACTATTGAGTGTTCTGTCTTCTTTGCAGGCTTTCCGGCGTGGCTTTTGTTGCTCCGGTTGTGAATTATTGGTGGCCGTCGCTTTCAGGAAAGCTTATAAAGAGAGATTACAGGAGAGTTATTATCAAATGGTGTTTTGAGGATAGCCAAATATGCACCTGGAGTGTTACATTGGTKGCCTGGTGGGTTATACAAAAGCTTTTCCTATCAACTATTTCGGTCCTCAAAGGCAATGTGCCCAACCGAAAAACCTGTTTTACAAGGCGTACCAAGGTCAATCCTAGTTTTCTCCAACTTGTATTGTGATTTTGCAATGAAATGATCAAATTTTGACATTAATCTCTTACCTTGTAGGATACATTTAAGGGACGATTTTGTGGCTTGTCTCGAGCATTAGGATTTCGAACCTGCGGATCTAAGGATTAGTCAAGAGAGCTCTGTTCATATCTGGCATGGGAAGGAAGACAAACTAGTTCCAGTTCATCTTCAAAGATGCATGCTCCATAAGCAACCTTTGATCAACTACCACGAAATCCCACAAGGCGGACATTTAATCGCGCACTATGATGGTATTTGCGACGCGATTCTACGCAAGCTATTAAGCTCGGGGAAGAACAGAAGCCGTATAAACCAATCTTGAACTCACCGTTTGATGGAAATATGTACCCAAAATATGAAGTAAGAAGAATAGATTAACACTGCATCGTTTTATCGTCCGGATATTACGATATTAGGCATATATTATTGGTAAGGTGTAGATTTCTTGGTGAGTAATTATAGGCCTAAGTAAATTATTTCGGAAATTGCATGTGAAGAAAAAAGTTTTACCAATTGACTTGTATTACTGACACTAATTAGCTTTTTTTTTGTTTGTTAACGGCATTAGAATTCTCTTCCCTTTATTCTCAGAATCTCTCTCCGGTCACCTAGTATCGTCAATCTTTGTCGAATTATACGTAGTTACATTATCATTAATTCCGATTTTCGAGAGACAAAGAAATGAGAAATGTGACGTATGTTCTCACACAATCCACGCGTCATGTTTCTTTCTTTCCTAAACGGAAAACACAAACAGACAAACAAAATAATGATGCGAGGAGAGTTTTATGCGTCATCTGAATTTGGAATTTGCCAATACACGTGCTTATACGACAACGTTTTTTTTGCTGTCTCACTTCATTTCTCTTTTGCATATTTTTCATCAATTGTTTTACTTATTTTTCTTAGATTTGAGAAGTGTATTTTACTTATTTGTAGGGAAAGAAGAAAAAAAAACATTAGTAGTGTGGAAACTGAATTCCGCACTGAGTATTTGTATGTGAATTCAGAGAAAAAACTTTGGTCCTAAGAAATATCTATAAGCCCAAACGATTAAAAGAAGAGTAGAGCGGAGCTGGATTTATATTGATAATGAATCGAATATACAATAAGATCTCGAATGAGACGTATTACAAGCTGAAAATGTAGTATATAGCTCTCGCGTAAGTTAAAATTTGGCGAAATCTACTCGGTCTTTGTGTATGTAAAGCTCAATCCAGCTCCACGTCTCCAGGGCGGTTCCGCGTATCTCGGGCACGTTCTTACGACTATGATAACTTCCCTGTTGACCCGTTCCTAGCTCGTTGGCTCAACACTCAGAGCTGACTTGGGCTCCTGACCGAATCATGCCTTTTTCCTGGGGCTTCTGGTCAAAGTGAAATAAGCAACATGTTTTGACTTGGGCTTTTGGAACAAGTAGTATATTTTGATTCATCGTATAACATTTTTTATTAATTCCGTTGAAGTTTTTATTTTAATAATATATTTATTTTTTCTTCGAAGGTAATTTGATTGGTTCATCAGTGAAGGGTTTGGGATTAAACCACTGTTTTTTTATCATTACATTCGATGTTAATCGAGGCTACCTGATCTATATTTATATTTGCGAAGTCGAAAATCCTATGTGGCATCGTGAGAGCCTCTCTCAAACCTGACGTGCCGAAAATACCCTTAATGAATGTCGAAATTACACCCCTTGCCATCAAATTTTCGTGAGCCATATTTTGTTCATCCAAAATAATTTGGTTTGGCCCAAAAAATTATTGTAGCCCATGTTCATTAGTCGGTTTTGGGAAACCCTAATTGATACCTTCATAATTTCTTATATATAATCCTTTCGTAAGACTTTCTGTTTTCTTCCAATATTAGGTTTTCAATTTTTTTCCTTATTTTTACGTTTTCTCTACTTTTTTGTTTGCATTCTCTTCCGATGAATTAAAGCATATCATAAGTTTAGTTGATATAATATGTGTTATGATGTTTAGTTGATATTGTCATTGGCTTATGTGTGTCTCGAGCAAAGAAAAGTTCTTGGAATCGGTTGAGTACATCAGTAGGAGCTCGATGGTGATAGATGAAGAAGCCGAAGATCATCGTTGGGTAATCATGGTTTCGATTCTGGTCCGTAAGATCATCGGACTTCTCCGTACGCCTATGGAATACACAGGTTTCATCGTTGACTTTTTACTCAATCTCTTCTCTGCAAATGGTGGCTTCTTGGGTTTGCTTTTCGGGTAATTCAATGTACTGATAAAGTTTCAAACTTTGATTGGAAAAAAATGGCATTTTTATGAGTTTAGATGATTTTTAATTGTGTTTGCAGCGAAAGTTGTGGTACCAGAAAGAGGCACTGTGACGTTTGTTAATACAATTTACAACTTGATAGGAGAATTGATATGTATAAAGGTTGGAATTTCGTCGAACACTTGGAGAGCATGGATTTGGTCAATTCGGATTCTTCAGAAAGCGTTAGGCTCGAACCGGGAAGTAGTGGGCTTATGGATTTGTGTGTGATGGCTTCGAAACTTGCGTATGAGAACGCCAAGGTTGTTGAAAATGTTGTTAATCTCCATTGGAAGGCAAGTTAGCTAAAAAAACAGAGACTTTAAACACATTTCATGAGAACAAAAAAAAAGTTTTCAAATTTGTAAATTTTCCATCTCTATGTCTATGCAGATGAATTTCATGGAGTTCTTGGATTGTTGAAATGGTGAGAATTAGATTGCAAGATGACTAAATGTGTCGTCAGTGAACATATTTTAATTAATTATTCTGATGCAATATACATGTTTTCTTACTTTTTGCAGGAAGATTTTATTTCGTTTGTGTTATTCCAACATTACCAGATGCATTATGATTTCGGGTATGTATTTTATTCTATTAATATGTTCTTACTTAGTTGTTTTTTTTATGTGTTCTTGATTTTTTTGTAGCGGAGGTTGTTCAATTAGTTAGCTTCTTCAATACAATACCAATCTAACAAAATGGAATTATAGAGCAGTGAAATAAGTAGAAGCATGACACTTTAACCCCACACTTATAATATTTGGTAAGGCGCCTTAATACTTTATTGTACTTAATATTGTTGTTACTTTTGCTTTATCTTCATATTAAGAGAAACACTAGAAGAATCATTTAGATTTAAGATATTTATGATATGAACAAAAAACATAAGTCATAGTCATAGTCATAAAAATCTACTATAAGAAATTTTTAATTACTACTTTCCATTTTACTAATCTAATTATCTTATTTTTAGGTATTCATTGATTTTGCTATAAATTTTATAAAAATCCTAGCCGCTACGTTAGATTTTGTCTTTGTATGTTTGATTTGTTCTTCTCTGTTTCTCTGTGTTTGTTGTTTATATTCAGTTACTGCAATTGTTAATGCAATTTTATTTTTATTTTTCTCACATGTTTGAGCACTAATCCATCTATGAATTTTGTTACTACYTTTTTGTTATCATGTTTTCTAATAATCAGATGCTCTTATTTTTTCAACGATCCTGACATGTTTTTGACTTCGTCTTGCAGCAGCTTAAAAACCGATAACACATCCTAGATAAGAGTCGGCATTCTTTGTGTAGCAAATTATAGGTTTGTGCTTCATATTCTCTTATVTTCCTGTTATGTTTCTCATGGTCTTTTTATTGTATTCTCTTATGTTCTTAATGTTCTAATTAGTAGTTAACATAATCCATATGAAATTCATATGCCTCTCTTCCATGAATTTCATTTGTTCATGTTATCTTTTCTTTCCATACACTCCAATAATTTTGTGATTTTCTATTTTTTTAAGGTTAGGGAGAACAAGGTTTCGAAACAAAGTAAGAAAAGGGATCAAAGCAAAAGCTTTTAAAAGGTGGTTCCTTTGATCTCTTTGTTTTGCATGCTAATATTAGATTAATTTGATATTTTTTTATTCTAATATTATAAACATGGTTATAGTTTTTCTGTCTAATTTAGTTATGAATTCAAAATAACGAAACAGGGGAATCATAAAAGATTGGAAGTAACGGTTTAAGAAGGTGATTCCAATATCATGCTTATTTTTGTTAATTTTCTATATATATTTTTTTTTTGTAAACATTGGTCTTTGGTACTGGATGGTTTGTGTTATACGGATTCGATTCTTCAACAAGATTATACAACTATTAGTTTATAGTTTTGTTCATCAATCCATACCGTTTTATGTCTTTGTTACTGGATCTCCCAGTACGTTCTTCTTCTCTTTAAATGGACTTATTTTTAATGTGGATTCYATTTTCGATTGAATCATATTAACTTTAACAATTTGTTTGTTTCTTCTCTTTATTGAAAGTTGTATTGATCTTATAGGTTTTTTTTTGTTTCACACAAACTCCTCTTCTAATGGTATCGTAAGCAAGATATGTGTGTCTGCTTTTGTTGGTAATTGCAGTTCTAAGCTTATGATCTTGGAAATCAATTTTTATTTTTTCAATTTTCGTTTAGAGGGTTTGGTCTTGTGTTTTTAGAGTTTTAGACCAACTCTCATAAATTGAATGATACAATTTTCTCATTTAGAACATTGTCATATTGAATTTAGGTTTTTGGAATATTAGCACTTTTGATGGGTATCGTGTATTTTCGGTGGAGTAAAAAAGAAGATGTTGATTTGTTGACTGGGCAGAGACGCTAAGACAGTGCACTCGATGGTGGAGTTGAGCTCCGACAATACGACGGCGTGGGCGGTGGTGAATGGTGATGGAACAACAATCGGTTTCACACCACCTGATTTTCCTTGAGAGCCATGAAAGTACCGAAGAGAGAGTCGGCATGAAGAGGACAGTGGAGAGCCATCGAGGGGAACAACGGTGTAAGCAGGGTCGTGTCCTCCAACGTAGCAGCAAGGGCTCGTGGCGCAGCAACAACAGCTACAGATCAAACAAGAGGTAGGGGAGCTCTGGTTTTAAGAGAAAAAGAAAGAAGAACACCAGTTCGAAGGTGGTGCTTTGGAGCTTAACCGACGGCAGCTGTATCGCCGGTTGATCTCACCAGAGGGACCAGCGTGACCATGCATTAAAATTAAAATGTTAGAAATATTGGGGACGTCGCATGGAGGCTTTGCTTCCTGGACAAGAAACTCTTGAAAATCTGCAAAGCTAGATAATTCAATGTGCGATTCGAATGATTTATGCTGTTGATACTTGATATGGTGGAGTCGAGCAGATCAGATTGTGACAAATATGATCCACTCTCCGAAGATCTCCGAGTGATTACTCTCCGAAGATCTAAGTAAGATGGCCATGTTGTTACTTGGCTCGTTAAAATCCTTATCCTCCAATTCGAGCCTGGAGAGACCACTACCACCACCCTTTGTCTTCCTAGATTGGTGTATCGGGATAGTTAGGATCTATTCGGAAGTGGTGATGTCGAGATTAGCAATCTCCTTCGTATAGAAGGGACCTTTGCAAACTTCCCTCTCTTTGAGAGGTGAACTTATCTCGAGCGTAATGCCGAGAAAAACTATGAATGTTTTTGTCTATGTGTTTTCTTGTGTAGTAGTTCTTATGGGATCCGAAGAAACAAACGGAATCGCTTTGGCGACTTTCGCAGGCAAGACTTCATCTTCAATGTCACTATATGTGACTAAATCCAACCGTTGCGGCTTTGCCGGCAAGATCTCATCGACGCATTTGAGTTTAACTACGAATTTGATGTCATTTGATCACTCTCTATCTGCTTTAATGTTGTTTGTCGTTAATTTGTATTATCAAAACTTCAGAGGATGGATAATTCCCTCTTGTAGTGTGGAAAAGTAAAAAATGAAAAGAATATGTTGAACCAAAAAAAAAAAAACCTAAAAAATCCGATCCAAAACCCAGTTTGGCCACCGTAGTTTTACTTTTGTAAAAGTTATAATGTAACTTCTTTTTTTTCGGTTAAAGTTTACTTCATTGATTTCAAATTCATATGCAAATGTAATAGCTAACTTGTGAGAGAAACAAAGAGTGAGATTGGTTAGTTGGCAGTAGCGTGAACTTAATTAAGATGTAAAAAGACAGCGAAAGGACAAAATTATCTTCTCAATTCTTTATTCATTCAAATTTAGTACTTGCATAATTCCTTTAATAAAATGTAGTTGAAACATAAAAATAAAACAATATGCACCTATTCTATAAAAAAATCTTATTCGAAATTTGAAATCTATACCAAATTTGTTACATTTTGAAAAATACCATATTTTAAGAGTTGAAATGACAATTATATCCTTATTTAACAAGATTAAGTTAGAAAACAAAATGATTTAATTTTTCTGGTTTTTATTTAAAAATTGATTTATCATATTTAAAACTAATATATAACCATGTATTAATAATCTAACAATCTAATAAAAAAGTTTTTGATAAAATATCTAAGGAATTGATTTTAATTAATTTTACAATTTACAATTTAATTAATTTATATAATAATATGTCAAGTCGATGAACAAAAAATTAAATTAATCGTTTAAATAAGTCGACAAGGTAAAAAATCAATCAATCAAAATATATATAGATGGTTTAAAATAAATCGATGAAACAAAATTTTAAGTCAACGAATTAACAAAAATAAGTCAGTGGTTTAAATAAGTCGATGACTTAAAATGTCAAGCAAACGAAATATAAGTCAACAATTTAAAATAAGTCGACAAACTGAAAATTAAGTCGACAAAATTGAAAATTAAGTCAATGGTTAAATAAGTCGACAAAGTAAAAAATCAAGCAAACGAAATATAAGTCAACAGTTTAAAATAAGTCGATGAAGTTGAATATTAAGTCGACAAAAAAAAAGTCAATGGTTAAACAAGTCGACAAAGTAAAAAATCAATCAAATAAAATATAAGTCAAAAGTTTAAAATAAGTCGACGAAGCTGAATATTAAGTCGATGAATATAAAAAATAAATCAACTGTATAAATAAATCAACAAAGTAAAAAATCAACGAATCAAAATATAAGTCGACTGTGTAAAATAAGTCAATTTTTATTTTTTATTTTAATAAATAATTTAGCTTTTAGATAT